GCCGTCTCATGAAATTTGAATAGAATAGAACCAATTACTCCTCAGAATGAATTCGGATCGATTTGAATCCATTGGAAAAATGTGACGCCGGTCAAAAATAAAAACCGTAAATTAAACAAAATTCGTTACAAATGCAACCAGACAAAATTAGTAACTTAACGACTCAATCCAAAACTAAACAAATTTTTTTGTTCTGCACGTTTAGTTGCCCCAGCTTTTTCTTCTAAACTGGCTTATGAAGCATGTCTAAAGGAAGCTTTAGACAAAGACAAAGAGCCACAGAGGCAGGATGTACCCAGGATTATGACTCAAAATAGCCATGGTTGCATAGGGATCAGGCCTCAATCTTGGTGACTCCAATTCTGGAGTCAGATGAGGCAGGCATACCAATATGTCTTTGAGTTTGCTTTGATCCTACTGTTTATGAACATTGTCAAGAGTGCAGTAGAAATGAAAGAAGAGGCAGCTCCCCCCCCAATTTATGCAAGAGGGGTTAGTACAGACAAAGCATTTTCTGTTCAGCCATGATCACAATATCTGCAGTTCACTGGGCAATTCCAACCTCTAGGAACTGAGGGTGCCCTCTAGAATTACGCAGGTACTTTTTACCTCTGCTAAAGGGGGCACAAGTGAAGATCAAGATGAGCAACACTATGGCTGTATTCAAGCAGGGCAGCACCTGGAGCCTTTTGCTTGCAGCAGAAATCTTTAAGTGGGATGAAAGACGCATCTCAGCCTTAACAGCTTTGTACCCCTACTTGGGCCAAAGAATTTAGTGGCAAAGTCAACATTTGCAGGCTACAATGAATGGTCAGTGAACAAACGCTATCCTACACAAAGTGTTCTGGCCCTGGTGGATGCTAGAGGTTGACTTAAGGGCTACAATCCACAACACTTGGCTTTGTGACACAAGCCCCTCCAAGGGCTGGTGCAGGATGCCCATTCGGTCTGTTGGGACTTTAAGCTAATATATGCATTTCCCCCAACATCATTAATTCTGCATGCACTCAGGTATTCAAGTAGAGAAAGTGAACATTATTATGATCCTACCCTTTTGGCGCAGGAGGGTATTGTCTCCTCTTCATTTTCACCATTGTTCCCACCATCGTTCCCTCCATAGCAACTTCCGTTGAAACGTAACTTCTTAATCAAGATTTTCTTAATTCCAATCCCAAGAGACTCCAATAAATTCTTGTGGATTCAATGGGGCAGGATGATCAGTTTAGGCATTCCAGGAAGAGTGTAGAGACTATTAAAATCCCACAAAATTTCAACCAATTCCATGCATTTCAAATTCTGGTGGATAATTTTCTAGTTCGCAGTGGCAGCCAACATTGATCCCTTTTAGGCAGCATTCTCTGACATCCTCAGCCTTCTGCATACAGGTATGGGCCGAGGATTGGGATAGTGTTCTTTGAAGGTGCAGATATCTCCACCTTGACTAAGGTAGTAGTAATACCGCTGCAAAATGTTTTAGTTCCTACTTTATAACATTTGTTAAAATAGCAATTGGCTAGACCACATAATAATTAGTGTGTGTTGTGCGTTATGAATTGACTAATGCAATATCGCTTTTTTTTTTTTTTTTTTTCTCTTAGATATTTAGCACAGGTAATTACTGCATTTGTGGTTTTAACCTTTTTGTGGTTGCAAGATATTTGTTCCCAACCTTTTTGAATTCCTGGCCTCATGTGGACAGGAGGAGGCCAGGAAATCAAAATATTTTTTCTTATCCTTATTTTCCTTTCCTGGCCAATTCTCATATGAGTATAAGTTTCCCTCCCTGCTGTCCTGTTAGAGAACACCGTGAGGCTAAATTAGGTGAACATATTGGGAGTCAGGGGCAGAGATGCATGCAGAAATGAGGATTGGCTCAGAAATTACAGAAAAAATATATTTTCTGAATGCAGAGACCATGTCAAATAAAATGGTGACTGATGCAATTTTTTTTTAAGCCACACAAAAATTATGCTACTGCTTATCAAACCTATATTTTCGTTAACAAAATTACCTTTAGTGCACACAACAAAATATACTGTGCACTTTTTTTGATAAAATATAAAAGATAAGGCTGCATTGAGTAAATAGATACTAAAATTTGTTAAGCATCAAATTGCACACGCCCATGAAATGGCAAAAAAATCACAATACATCCAATTGTCCTTATAAGCCCACTATGTGATAGTGTAGGTGACAGGTTCTCTTCAAGGAAATATCAGAAGTCACTTCTGCACCCTGTTGAAGCAAACTGAGCACAGACTCTGCATAATTAGCTTCTTCCCCAGGCAAAGCAGCTGGAGATTGACCGCTCTGAACCAGGAAGAACTGTACTTCTTCCTGGAAGATATCAGCTGAACACCTGATGGGGGAAATGGAGTGTTGCACATTTATGAGCACATAAAAGTGATCACTTCCACTAGAATAACTTCTACTAGAAATTTGGCAGCAAAAATGTAAACAATGCTAGGATGGGGTTTAAATGTTAATGCTGCCGCTGACAAAAAGGTTAACTCCTCCTGGGGGCTCTCGTGGATGTCTCCAACTTACAAGCCGACCTCAATGCACTGTTTAATTGGGCAACTATGTGGCAAATGAGGTTTAATGTTGATAAATGTAAGGTTATGCACTTGGGTGCTAAGAATATGCATGCATCATGCGTACTGGGGGGGGGGTACAATTGGGGGAATCAATGGTGGAGAAGGATCTGGGAGTTCTGGTATATCACAAGCTTAATAATGGCATGCAATGCCAAGCTGCAGTTTCTAAAGCGAGCAAAATCCTCTCTTGTATTAAAAGAGGTATAGACTCCAGAGAGAGATATCATTTTATCCCTGTACAAATCATTAGTAAGACCTCATCTGGAATATGCAGTTCAGTTTTTGGGCACCAATTCACAAAAAGAACATTGGGGAACTGGAGAAAGTACAGAGAAGGGCAACCAAACTGATAAGAGGCATGGAGGAGCTCAGCTATGTGGAAAGATTAGAGGAACTGAATTTATTGTCTCTTGAGAAGAGAACATTAAGGGGGGATATGATCAACATGTATAAATACATCAGTGGTTCATATAGTGAACTTGGTGTAGAGCTATTCTCCCTGAGGTCATTACAGAGGACAAGGGGGCAAATGGGACCCCACATACACTGGCACTTCTTCCAGCTCTCCAACTGAAAGGCCATACTTTGGTATGGACAGGGAGCTAGAGGAAGAGTCTACAGGCATTGTACCTAGGACCCACCGATCACTGATCCAGTACTTTGTAGGCTCCTATGCAAAAAAATAAAATACATACATGCATTTTTACCTGACAAATATATGTGCATTTGTTATTTTTTTTTCTAAAAAGTGGACTTAGCCTTTAACTCTCTCACTGCCGAATCTTAAGAACTCTGCCATTACAAAAAAAAAAACAAAGAAACTTAATCTGGTATACATGCACTTCTAACTTTCTGTGCGGGATGACAAAACACAAGATTGCCCTGCCCCGCATTCCTCCTCCTCTCCACAACATAGGGAGTAACTGTTCTGTAGCCCAAAGAAGAACTGAGAGGGCCAATTAGGCTCCTAACACAAGAAGAGTGAACAGGACACAACACAGCTTTCATTTTCTATCAAGGTCAACATGTTTTTGTACTTGTCAAATATAAATAAACACTTTATTTAAAAAGGTATATTTACTAGAGAAAAAAAATTGCAAATATGACAAGTCCATTGTTAGGATTGACATACATTTTAAATAATATGCAAACCCAACATTTCATATTCCTGATACAGTATGTGCCTGCTGTACCATGTACTAGTATGAAAAAGTATGCTGTTCTCTGTGTATTGTTTCCTTTGTGTAAAAACCCTGGTATTTCTGCTATTCCCTCTACTTTCCTTTTAAAAACGTACCACACTAGGCAGGAAAGCATAGCGTAGTCAGTGTTCTGGCTGCGTTAAGAACTGAGCCTGCCCCCCCCCTTCACAGCCATTCCCTGGGAAGTTTATTGTCCTGCTGTTTCCCCTCCCCCAGCTCCTAATGCAGCTGAAAACAGAGGTTATGTGATTATTTAAAAAAAAAAAAAAGGTATCTACAATGTTTTTTATATATACTGTATACACAAATGTTTTGCCTTTCATTTTGGTTTTAAACTGAATGGGTTGTTTTACAAGGTGACGGTTTACATATACTCTAAAGTTCAGAGAAAGAAACAGTGCTGAATTGAAAAGATTTTTTTTTTATCTTAAGAATGTTTTATTTTTTTTCTTACAAATTAGTTCCTTTTTGGCTTGAAAAAAAAAATAACTGGGCATATTTCACTACAATAAGAGACCTTTTAACATTATAACATTTTTTTAATCCAAGCACATACCTGTACAGAAGACAGCACACCTTCCTTTTCTGTGCCCCCCCACCCCACACTTTTCTGTTGTAGAGAACCTAAGTCCGCTGGGAAACTGACACTTCTGGGAGTGTCTATCCCCATTGTCCCCCACAGCTCACCGCTTCCTTCCTCTGTCCATTACTGTCACTACCAGATCTATTTTACAGGTATATGTTTGAATTAAAAAATGTTACAACATAATAGGGTCTCTTTAAAGTGGGACAATTTAATATCCTTTGTATTACATTTCTGCAATAAAGCTCATATCAGTTTAACACAGAAAGCCTTTTTTAATTATAAAATCTGTTACATTGAATACTGTGCCTTTTTTTTTTTTTCTTTGGGCACCAGCAAGACTCTTCATAAACAAGACCTAGTGCTAGGGTCGGATGTAGAAGAAGCTGGAAAAAAATGGATTTCACTAGGCCTGTATTTGCTGCAAAGGCACCTCAATACTTCAACAAACAGCCCAACAGTCATGACATGTCTATAAACAACGTGAGCAGCCCAATGAGTCTTGTTAAAAGGTGTTGGGAAATTCTGAGGAACACAATATCATGTCCTTCCAATGTTACATTACACAGTCTGTGTGTGTATAGCATGCCCTAGTTAATCGCCTTGATCACCGGGTGGTCATTTTTTTCGCCTCAGCTTTGGCTTTTTTACAGGTCGTAAATAGGGATTATCAATCAGGGTTTCTTCACCACCCTTCAATGAGCTGTTCTGAAGAACTGATGAATTTTCCTTCTCTTCTCCAGGATCATCCTATTGAGATAGAAAAAAATGAACACAGAAAAACTAAATAAGCTTAGAGGTCAACAAATTTGAAAATTGCATTTCACAAAAAAGAAAGGAAGGGAAATAATGTACAGTAAATGACGTGGTATATGCATGTGTGGATGAGAAAATTAAACAACATTATGTGCTAACAGACATGGCTTTCTTTTAGAAGCAGTTTAATTCTTTTTAAATGTAACCTAATGTATACGGATGCATGTGAGCTGCTCTCATATGGGTGCGCTTGGTTCTAGCAGACAATATCTAGGCCCTGGCACTGTCATAATAGAGATGATATGTTGTTGAAGCTCCCCCTAGTATCCGACACAGGAGATTTTTTTCCAGATACTTTTTATTAACCACTTAAGCTCAGGAAAGTTTTAACCCCTTCATGACCAGGGCAATTTTTGCTATTTAGCACTGTGCTACTTTAACTGGTAATTGCACAATCATGCAATGCTATACCCAAATGGCATTTTTTCACACAAACAGAGCTTTATTTTTATGGTACTTGATCAACACTTGGTTTTATATAAATAAAAAAAAACCCCAAACAAAAAAAAAAAAAAGACAGAAAATTTAGCAAATAATTTTTACCTTCTGCTATAAAACATATCCAATAAAAATTTTTTTTTTTTTTTTTAAATTCTAATTTCTTCATAAATTTAGGTCAAAATGTATTCTGCTACGTCTGTGGTAAAAGAAAAAAATCCCAATAAGTATATATTGATTGGTTTGTGTGAAAATTATAGAGTCTACAAACAATTAAAAATAAACTTGAATTTTTTAATTTATTTTAAATAAAATTAGTAATGGTGGTAATTAGCAACTTATAGTGGGACTGTAATAGTGCAGCGGGTAATTTGACACTGGGTGGGAAATGACTGACACTGATATCACTTTATTGGTGTCATTGGAGATATTACTATACACTATACTAATGTGTGTAATGTGTGCTGCTTTTACTAAGAGATGTACCGGTTTTATCTCCCTGCTTTGCAGGTAGAAACAAACTGCCACATCTCTGCTCCATGTACAGAGCTCTGTGTTGTTCTTAAACACAGGGCTCTGTACTGTCATTCGCTACGCCAATCAGCAGGTCCCAGTCATAAATCATTGGTTGTGTGCCAAATGACAGCACATGGTGCGGGGCATACGTAATCCAGCGCAGAGCAGCCACCCCGCCACAGTATATATACACAGTGGGTAAAATAAGTATTGAACACATCTCCATTTTTCTCGGTAAATATATTTCTAATTGGTGCTACTGACATGAAATTTTCACCACATGTCAGTAACAACCCATGAAATCCATGCATACAAAGAAAATAAAACAAATAAGTTCAGAGATTAGGTTATGTGTACTTCGTACAAAATCCTTTGTTGGTAACGACAGGTTCAAGATGCCTCCTGTATGGAGAATCTAGTCGCATGCATTGCTCAGGTGTGATTTTGGCCCATTCTTCCACACAAACAGTCTTCAAATCTTGAAGGTTCCGTGGGCCTCTTCTATAAACTCTGATTTTAAGTTCTTTCCATAGATTTTCTATTGGATTCAAGTCAACGATTGGCTGGGCCATTCTAGCAGATTTATTTTCTTTCTTTGAAAGCTTTCCTTAGCTTTGTGTTTGGGATCATTGTCTCGCTGAAATATCCATCCTCGTTTCATCTTCATCATCCTGGTAGGTGGGAGCAGATTTATATCAAGAATGTCTTGCTACATTTTTCCGTTCATCCTCCCTCCACCGATATGAAGTTTGCAAGTACCGTATGCTGAAACACAGCCCCACACCATGATGTTCCCACCTCCAAACTTCACTGTTGGTATGGTGCTTTTGGAGTGATGTGCAGTGCCATTTGACCTCCAAACATGGTGTGTATTTTGGTATCCAAAGAGTTCAATTTTGCATTGATATAACCAGATTATATCCTCCCAGTATTTCACAGGCTTGTCTAAATGTTGTGCAACAAACTTTAAATGAGCTTCAACCCGCTCTTTCTTCAGCAATCTTGCACGGCAAGCATACATACAGGCCATGGTGGTTGAGTGCATTACTTATGGTTTTCTTTGAAACACTTGTACCCGCTAATTCCAGGTCTTTCTAAAGCTCTCCACAAGAGGTAATTGGCTCTTGGACAACTTCTCTGAGGAGCACCTGGTTGTAGCTGGTTTATGGTGAAATGATGTTCTTTCCACTTCCAGAATATGGCCCAAACAGTGCTCATTGGAACATTCAGAAGTTTGGAAATCCTTCTGTAACCAATGCCAAAAGTATGTTTTGCAACAATAAGGTTGCGAAGGCCTTGAGAGAGCTCTTTGCTTTTACCCATCGAGATGTTTCTTGTGTGACACCTAGGTAACGAGACACCTTTTTATAGGCCATCAGTTGAGACTGAACCAGCTGATATTAATTTGAACTGACATGGGGCAGGATTGCTTTCTAATTATTGATATATTTCAGCTGGTGTCTTGGCTTTCTTCATTGCACCTCTTTTTCTTCATGTGTTCAATACTTTTTCTCTGTGCCATTCTATTTTATTACACATAATTTTTTAACTTATTTATGTTTCTTTGCATGTAGGGACTGCATGGGTTGTTTCCGACATGTGGTGAAAATTTTACGTCAAAAGCACCTTTAGAAATATATTTACTGAGAAAAATGGTGACGCGTTCTGTACTTATTCTACCCGAGATATAAAAATTATATATTGCCAAAAGTATTGGGACACTCCTCAAAATCATTGGATTTAGGTGTTCCAATCACCTCCATGGCCACAGGTGTGTAAACTCAAGCACCTATGGAATGCTTCTACAAAAATTTGTGAAAGAATGGGTTGCTCTCAGGAGCTCAGTGCATTCAAGAGTGGAACCGTGATAGATTGCCACCTGTGTAATGAGTCCATCCGTGAAATTTCCTTGCTACTAAATATTCCACGGTCAACTGTTAGTGGCATTATAACAAAGTGGAAGCAACTGGGAACAGCAGCAACTCAGCCACGAAAAATGACAGAGCGGGGTCAGCACATGCTGAAGCGCACAGTGCACAGAAGTTGGCAACTGTCTGCAGAGTCAATAGCTAAAGACCTCCAAACTTTGTGTGGCCTTCAGATTAGCACAGCAACAGTGTGCAGAGAGCTTAATGGAATGGGTTTCCATGGCCGAGCAGCTGCACTCAAGCCTTACTTCACCAAGTGCAATGCAAATTGTCGGATGCAGCAGTGTAAAGCACACCACCACTGGACTCTGATGGACTTGTCTGGGTTGGCGGTTGCTAGGAGAATGGTATTTGCCTGACTGCATTGTGCCAAGTGCAAAGTTTGGTGGAGGGGGGATAATGGTGTGGAGTTGTTTGTCAGGGATTGGGCTTGGCCCCTTAGTTTCAGTGAAGAAAGGTGTTAGCATACCAAGACATTTTGGACAATTTCATGCTCCAAACTTTGTAGGACTAAGCTGCACACAAAACACACATATGGGAACAGTTTGGGTATGTCCCCTTCCTGTTCCAACATGACTGCACACCAGTGCACAAAACAAGGTCCATAAAGACCAGGATGAGCAAGTTTGGGGTGGAGGAACTTGACTGGCCTGCACAGAGTCCTGACCTCAACCCGATAGAACACCTTTAGGATGAATAAGAGCGGAGATTGCAAGCCAGGCCTTCTCGACCGACGTCAGTGCCTGACCTCACAAATGCTCTTCTGGTCAAACATTACCATAGACCAGTTCGTAAACCTTGTGGACAGCCTTCCCAGAAGAGCTGAAGCTGTTATACCTGCAAAGGGTGGGCAAACTCAATAATGAACCCTATGGACTAAGACTGAGATGCCATTAAAGTTCATGTGCATGTAAAGGCAGGCGTCCCAATACAAAATAAGCACAATAATAGTAGGAAACAACAGCAACAACTGTTTACACCTTGCAGATTGATGTACAAGGCACTAAAATTGGTTCTGCATAATTCTCAAATACCATAGCCAGAGCTGATGCTTCCACTAGGCAAACTAGGCAGCCGCCTAGGGCGTACTGCCACCTAGGGGCACCTGGGCGCAGCACAGGCTGGCACTCTCTCTGTGTGGTCTATTGACCTCTTGTATGAATTCTTCATTTCTCTGTAGAGTCCCCCTCTCCTCATACACAGGAGAGATGATGAGGGATTGATGTTATCTTTACTCTGTACAATTGTCTCACAGCCTGTCCACACACAACCATTTAGTGCGTGCGCGCACACACACACACCCACGACAGTATTCCATGTAGCAGTAAAGTGTCGGCTCCCCCTAGAATGGGAAGTGAAGACATTAGCCCAGGACCCTGGCTTGTCAGCAGTCTCTGATCAGAGGGTCGGTATATACATCTCCGGTGCACATACTGGCACACACGATCTTCTAGCTGTAACAGGGAGCTAGCTATTGACTGAATGGATAACAGCTTGTATAACAGTGTAAATTTGCTGTCCCCTCAAAATAACTCAACACACAGCCATTAATGTCTAAACCGCTGGCAACAAAAGTGAGTACACCCCTAAGTGAAAATGTCCAAATTAGGCCCAATTAGCCATTTTCCCTCCCTGGTGTCATGTGACTCGTTAGTGTTACAAGGTTTCAGGTGTGAATGGGGATCAGGTGTGTTAAATTTGGTGTTATTATTGCGCTCACTCTCTCATACTGGTCACTGGAAGTTTAACATGGCACCTCAAGCAAAGAACTCTCTGGGAATCAGAAAAAAAGAATTGTTGCTCTACATAAAGATGGCCTAGGCTATAAGAAGATTGCCAAGACCCTGAAACTGACCTGCAGCATTGTGGCCATACAGCAGTTTAACAGCACAGGTTCCACTCAGAGCAGGCCTCACATGGTAGACCAAAGAACTTGAGTGCATGTGATCAGCGTCATCCCCAGAGGTGGTCTTAGGGAAATAGATGTATGCGTGCTGCCAGCATTACTGCAGAGGTTGAAGGGGTGGGGGGGTCAGCCTATCAGTGCTCAGACCATACGCCGCACACTGCACTAAATTGGTCTACATGGCTGTCATCCCAGAAGGAAGCCTCTTTTAAAGATAATGAACAAGAAAGCCTGCAGTTTGCTGAAGACAAGCAGATTAAGGACATGGATTACTAGAACCAAGTCCTGTGGTCTGATGTGACCAAGATAAACTTATTTGGTTCAGATCGTGTCAAGCGTGTGTGGCGGCAACCAGATGAGGAGTACAAAGACAAGTGTGTCTTGCCTACAGTCAAGCATTATGGTGGTGGGAGTGTCATGTTCTGGGGCTGCATGAGTGCTGCTGGCACTGGGGAGCTACAGATCACTGACGGAACCATGAATGCCAACATGTACTGTGACATACTGAAGCAGAGCATGATCCCCTCCCTTCGGAGACTGGGCCGCATGGCAGTATTCCAACATGATAACGACCCTAAACACACCTCCAAGACGACCACTGCCTTGCTAAAGAAGCTGAGGGTAAAGGTGAAAGGACTGGCCAAGCATGTCTCTAGACCTAAACCCTATTGAGCACCTGTGGGGCATCCTCGAAACGGAAGGTGGAGGGCAAGGTCTCTAACATCCACCAGTTCCGTGATGTCGTCATGGAGGAGTGGAAGAGGCAACCAGTGGCAACCTGTGAAGCTCTGGTGAACTCCATGCCTAAGAGGGTGAAGGCAGTGCTGGAAAATAATGGTGGCCACACAAAATATTGACACTTTGGGCCCAATTTAGACATTTTCACTTAGGGGTGTGTTCACTTTACTTGAGAGCGGTTTAGACATTAATGGCTGTGTGTTGAGTTATTTTGAGGGAACAGCAAATTTACAATTTTATACAAGCTGTACACTCACTACTTTACATTGTTGCAAAGTGTCATTTATTCAGGGTTGTCACATGAAAAGATATAGAATAATATAATTGTGAGATACTGTATGTCACTAACAGGGTACCAATACCAGACTTGCGGAACAGAATGAAAGACACCTCAAGAGTGTGGACATTTTTGGAAAAACTAGTTGTCCAGAGACAAAATCAGGGTCCCAATCTACTTGTCCTTTATGACAATCTACTGGTTCAGATTAAAAAAAAAATCATTTAAAAATGTTTTTATTTAAATCCTATTTAAATCGGAGGTGATTTTAGAAATGTCTGGGGCTTTTAAAAACAAAAGGGGCTTTATGGTGACCTAAACGTGTAATAATTTTAACATTGTTCTGTTTATCTCCTCCTCCCTACCTACCTGTCACCAGCATCGCACCCAGGGACTAGGAGGGAGGAGAGAGGCCTTGCAGTGTAATGAGCACCGATTGGGTGCTTGTCAGGAAAGGAGAGCGTCAGGCTTATCCTTTATCCCTTTCACTGCCAGTGCCCTAGGAGGAAGAGGCTGAAACTTTAAGGGGCTGTGTGGAAGCAATCGGCAGCAGCATTGCCACCTGAATGCTTCCATCTGACAGGTGAGCCCTGCTGCTTACCCCCAGCAGGACTAAAGGTTCAAAGAAACTATCTGCTCGGCGCCCAAAATGTCCTGGTCATCGGGCCATAAAAATTGAACATCCCTGGGTCACCTTCTCCTTCAAATCCTCTAATTTAGTACACCTTATCATACATGCAACATGCCCTACAGGTCTCTACGCTGTTTAAACTATGAATCTCTGTGAACCATCATACAGGCTCATCTCCACATCAAAGGGGACTTAACTTTGTTTCTTAGTATCAGTTCACATTACCTAAAGAAGTGGCCAGCATTCTTTGAAGGTTTGCATAGCAATTTATTTATTTAGCAAATAAATGGTATCAACCTAAATCCAAACTTCTACTTTTGTTGAAGGTTAACACTCTGCTGCCACCCTCAAATTTAGAAGTCCAAATACAGCACTGTACTGTTAAGAATCTTCCACATCGAAAACACTAATTTGTCATTAGTATCTTTGCTCTACATGCTGAATTTAGGTAATTACCTGTATAATGGAAACTAAAACATAAATCTATGGCAACAAGCAAAGAAAAAGAAGGACAAATTCAAGAAAACCACAAATAAGATTGTTAAATACAATACCGCATGTAGATGCATAGAAAGGTTTTCTGTATCAGTCTGGTCATCTTGTTCAGAAGAATCAGTCTCTTCTACTTGCTGCAGCTCCAATTCTGATGGGAGAAGGGCATTCAAATATGGGATGGACAAAGGGCGAGCGGCAATCACTGGCAAAGAAGGAAATGTGATAATGAAGGTAGAACACTCCTTGAGCAGTGAGCAAGTAAAATAAAAAAAATAAATAAATGAAACTTATTTAACACACACACTATACAAAGAAAGGATTGGCTTACACAGCACATTGAAAAAAATGCTGTCTTACATGGGAAAATGCTGGTGTCATCCTTGAAGAGACTCTGGGTTTCGCCAGTCTTTGCCATAAATCGCGTTAGTGCTCTTTCCACATCTCTACGCTGAGATGCTGCCTTCTCTCGAAGGACCTGGTAATCCCCCACTGGTTCTCTACAGGTCTGCAATAAGAGTAATAGACTGTAAAACATTTCCTCTCTGTCTCCCCTTGACAGTCTCCCTTCAACTGGGCTGCCTCCAATTTTACAACAGCATCCTCAATCCTGCCACCTCGATGAGAACCTAGAAGTCCCTTTTCCCCTGTAGGCTGATAATGCTAAGCCACTGACTAACAATTAGCAGCAGCCCTGTAAATCTGCTGTAAGTGCTCCTTAAGCCACGTACACATATGGCCCGAATATCAACTGAAATCAGCTGGTACAGTAGATACCTGCTGACATTCAGCCTGTGTGTACAGGTTTTTGTTTGACAGAAGCCGATGTCACAGCCGGCTTCTGTTGAACGAGCATGCTGGCAAACCAGTAGCCAGTCGATGTCTTATCAGCACGCTCAGCCAATGGCTGTGAGTGCTGATCAGTGTGTTCCGGCAGGAAGTCTCCCTCTCAGAATACAATAGCACAGTGGGAAGATGGCTGCACTAACATCGCATCATTACTACAGAGACCTCCTCAGTTTTTTTATGTTCAGCACATTGGGTTGAATGAAAAACACTTTCAGTGTATACCAGGTTTTACGTTAGCCCTTGTACTGTTAACTGAGAGACAGTGGCTTGGTGTTGTCAACTTACAACAGAAAGTGCTATTACTGACAGGATCTCCTGGTTATAAAAACTTTGCAACAGAAGCACAAAAACACAATTTGCTTACGAAAACCGTGTACAGTGAGGCATGATGTCAAACATACTGAAAATTAGATTTAAGGTTTACATATACTTTAAAAACAGTAAAGAACTAATGAAACGGAAGTTGTGTCACCCTCCAACTGTGTTGACTGGCAAAGGTGTATGAATCTTAAAAAGCAGTGGGAGATCTACAAATTCTTTGGCAAATAAGACAGTTAACACCTGTCTTGCAAATTGTATTTACAGTTCACACTATCGCTTCGCTTTAAGTAATTCTTCACATCCCTGCCAGAAATTACATATCATTATCAATCAATAAGTATACATTCAACAACTTTTATACATTTAAACACACCAACATATCCCTTAACAAAGGCACATTTTATTATTCTACTTCTACTGTAGAATGTCTATTAATACTTTTCTATTCTTTATCTATGTCTACAGTCTCTTTAGGCCTCTGGCACATGGGCGGAATACTGTACTTATGTTTCCATTCAGGATCCTGTTGATCCTGAGTAAAATGTTCGGTAAAGACCTTGTGTAAATGTCTGTATGCGTATAGGTGCATAAAATTTTTTTTTGTCCTCTTTCAGTTGCCAGTGCAATATACCTGGGTGTATAAACGCTAATGCGCATAAATTACTGCATTCAAATGTAAAATTTTCTATTTTTGTTTTACAGCTTTGTACATATGGCTGCATTACTGATCTTTACACAGCTGTGTGCATTGTTCCATAGACAACAAAGCATCTACAGTATATCCATATCAGTAAGAAATGTGTCTTTTTTTAATCCCTTGTGCAAAAGGCCTTGCTGTTCTCCCATGTGTTTCCAGACTACTTGAATGGCTCTTCCCTAACAGGCTAACCTGATCCTATTCGTCACATCTAACACACTGCTTGATCCTCTTCACCCCGCATACTCAAAAAACTTAAACCCAAACAAAAGTGGCTCATTGCATCCTCAAAGCAAAAGCCGATCTAAAAAAAAGCTTTTCTTTTGACTCTGAAAACTATGACCTGACAGTGACAGACTATGAACTTTAGAGACTGTGCTCTTTCATGGATTTCCTCATACATACACTATATTGCCAAAAGTATTGGGACGCCTGCCTTTACACATGAACTTTAATGGCATCCCAGTCTTAGTCTGTAGGGTTTAATATTGAGTTGGCCCACCCTTTGTAGCTATAACAGCTTCAACTCTTCTGGGAAGGCTGTCCACAAGGTTTCGGAGTGTCTCTATGGGAATGTTTGATCATTCTTCCAGAAGCACATTTGTGAGATCAGGCACTGCTGTCAGATGTGAAGGCCTGGCTTGAAATCTCCAATTCATTTCATCCCAAAGGTGTTCTATCGGGTTGAAGTCAGGGTTCTGTGCAGGTCAGTCATGTTCCTCCACCCCAAACTTGCTCATCCATGTCTTTATGGACCTTGCTTTGTGCACTGGTGTACAGTCATGTTAGAACAGGAAGGGGCCATACCCAAACTGTTCCCACATGTGTGTTTCGTGTGCAGCTTATTCACTTAGGTTGGCTATAGACAACTAATTTTTTTTTTTTTTCGATTAGTCACAGGGCTGATAAAAGTGATCGGATTTCCCTTTCCACACAAGCAAGGATGAAGGAATCCTCAGGTGTCAGAATACACTGATCAGCAGCTACGGCTAATTGGCTGCAGGCACTGACCAAGAAAAAGTTTCCAACAAGCCAGCTCAACCAAAATTGATTATTAGATTGACTTCTGTCGAGCAGCAGCACTATAGAAATAGTGTGAAACCAGTCAATTGTTTTGTGGATTTCCAATTCTTTCATATGTTACGTTCGTTCCTTGATTGGTCCCATTTATAGCTAAGACAATGGCTGGCTATTGGATGTTGTAAAATGAATATGTTATTTCAACTGGAAATTCTTATTTACATTTTTTTTTTTTTACTTTTCCGGCGTATAAGACGACTGGGCGTATAAGACGACCCCCCTACTTTTCCTGTTAAAATATAGGCTTTGGGCTATACTCGCCGTATAATATGACAATAGCCCTCCCTGTCTCCAAGATGATCTACTATATAATACCATATGCACACTGCATACAAAGCCTGCTTGGATTGGGTGGGTCAGCTCTCCCTGCCTGCCCACACTGCCACAGTTATTAAAAAAAATTAATGTTAATTACCGTATTTCCTGCAAGGTACTGCCTAGCTGACGCTTCTGCACATGTCTTCGGCAGCAACGATCGCTGATCACCATTCTCACAGAACTGCATGAGACGTCGGATGCAGCCGTTCAGTGCTCGATTGAGCTTGACTGAAACTGTGATATGCACATCGGGTGCGGCAAGAAGACGCTTCTGCACATGTCACAGTTTCAGTCAAGAAATCGAGCACTGAACGGCTGCATCCGACGTCTCATGCAGTTCTGCGAGGAATGGTGATCAGCGATCGTCTACTGCTTGCGCAGAAGCCAGCTCGGAGTACAGGTAAGGGCACAACAGCGTATAAGACGAACTTTTAGAAGATTTCCAGGGGTTAAAAATCGTCTTATGGAAAATACGGTAAGCTTGACCAGATAATATGACAATATACTATATAATATATTACACACACACAAAAAAAACAAAAACACACCCCAAACTCGCTCATCCATGTCTTTATGGACCTTGCTTTGTGCACTGGTGCGCAGTCATGCTGAAACAGGAAGGGGTTCCCAGAGTTGGGAGCATGAAATTGTCCAAAATGTCTTGGTATGCTGACGCCTTAAGAGTTCCCTTCACTGGAACTAAGGGGCCAAGCCCAACCCCTGAAAAACAACCACACACCATAATCCCCCCTGCACCAAACTTTACACTTGGCACAATGCAGTCAGGCAAGTACTGTTCTGGCAACTGTGAAACCCAAACACATCCATCGGATTTCCAGACAGAGAAGCGTGATTAGTTACTCCAGAGAACATGTTTCCACTGGTCTGGAGTCCAGTGGCGGTGTGCTTTACACCACTGCATCCGAAGTTCTGCACTGTACTGGGCGATATAAGGCTTGGATGCAGCTGCTGGCCATGGAAACCCATTCAATGATGCTCTCTATGCACTGTTCTGCTAATCTGAAGACCACATGACGTTTGGAGGTCTTTAGCTATTGACTCTGCAGACAGTTGGTGACTTCTGCGCACTGTGCGCTTCAGCATGCGCTGACCCCGCTCTGTCATTATACATGGTCTACCACTTTGTGGCTGCGTTGCTGTTGTTCCCAAAGTTGCTACAAGTGATAGCATATACTTGGTGAATACGGTCTCAGCCACATTAAATGAAATAAAGTCACTCTTTAGCATGGATAAAGATCGCTGCCTGGAGGGGGCCTGTCAGGGAATCGCTCTCCATCCAGAGCCCAGAATGAAGTATATATAGTGTAGTATTTATGAAAATTAAATTACCAATAAATAACATAAAACCAGCATCACAAGAAAAAATCCGTCCGGACTTACAAAGATGACCAAAGCTCCGAGGTCCAGACACAGAGGCGTAACGTCAGCACGTAAGTGATCTGAGAAGGTCTTTCCGGCTGTGCAGTGTTTCATCAAGCTCTATATGCTGTAAGTTCTGCTGAGTGCATATTGGTGGAGGTTTGTGCATGGAAGAGAGAGCACACCTGATGAACACTATAGTGGAGCACAAGTAGTGAAAACCTTGATTGATTTTGGACTTCTGTTTTTGACATTTATTTTTTAACTTTGCACGGACACTGTTCACCTTAGTGGTGCATTTATATTTTATTAATTTTTATCTCATTTAATGTGGCTAAGACCGTATTCACCAAGTATATGCCATCACTTTTAGCAATTTTTATTGTATGAATTTTTATTGCATGAAATTCTATTGTATGAATTTTCACTTTATATTGCTTTGCACACCTTAATGTTATCGCTGCACAATCTTTATTGTACATCTGCTATTGGGTTTGTTAATTTTACTGCCATCTTTTTTGTTGAACACTCCCAATATACAGTATCTCACAGAAGTGAGTACACCCCTCACATTTTTGTAAATATTTTATTATATCTTTTCATGTGACAACACTGAATAAATGACACTTTACTACAATGTAAAGTAGTGAGTGTACAGCTTGTATAAATTTGCTGTCCCCTCAAAATAAGAACACACAGCCATTAAAGTCTAAAACGCTGGCAACAAAAGTGAGTACACCTCTAAGTGAAAATGTTTAAATTGGACCCAAAGTGCCAATATTTTGTGTGGCCACCATTATTTTCCAGCACTGCCTTAACTGGGCATGGAATTCACCAGAGCTTCACAGATTGCCACTGGAGTCCTCTTCCACTCCTCCATGATGACATCACAGAGCTGGTGGATGTTAGAGAGCTTGAGCTTCTCCACCTTCCGTTTGAGGATGCCCCACAGATGCTTAATAGGGTTTAGGTCTGGAGACATGCTTGGCCAGTCCATCACTTTTACCCTCAGCTTCTTTAGTAAGGCAGTGGTCGTCTTGGAGGTGTGTTTGGGGTCGTTATGTTGGAATACTGCCCTGTGGCCCAGTCTCTGAAGGGAGGGGATCATGCTCTGCTTCAGTATGTCACAGTATATATTGGCATTCATGGTTCCCTCAATGAACTGCAGCTCCCCAGTGCCGGCAGCACTCATGCAGCCCCAGACCATGACACTCCCACCAGCATGCTTGACTGTAGGCAAGACACACTTGTCTTTGTACTCCTCCCCTGGCTGCCGTGACACACGCTTGACACTATCTGAACCAAATCAGTTTATCTTGGTCTCATCAGACCACAGGACATGGTTCCAGTAACCCATGTCCTTAGTCTGCTTGTCTTCAACAAACTGTTTGCACGCTTTCTTGTGCATCATCTTTAGAAGAGGCTTCCTTCTGGGATGACAGCCATGCAGATCAACTTGATGCAGTGTGTGGCATATGGTCTGAGCACTGACAGGCTGACCCCCCCACCCCTTCAACCTCTGCAGCAATGCTGGCAGCACTCATACATCTATTTACCTAAGACAACCTCTGGATATGACGCTGATCACGTGCACTCAACTTCTTTGGTCGACCATGGCGAAGCCTGTTCTGAGTGGAACCTGTGCTGTTAAACCGCTGTATGGTCTTGGCCACCATGCTGCAGCTCAGCTTCTTTCAGGGACTTGGCAATCTTCTTATAGCCTAGGCCATCTTTATGTAAAGCAACAATTCTTTTTTTCAGATCCTCAGTTCTTTGCCATGAGGTGCAATGTTGAACTTCCAGTGACCAGTATGAGAGAGTGAGAGCAATAACACCAAATTTAACACACCTGCTGCCCATTCACACCCGAGACCTTGTAACACTAAGGAGTCACATGACACCGGGGAGGGAAAATGGCTAATTGGGCCCACTCACTTTTGTACTCACTTTTGTTGCCAGTGGTTTAGACATTAATGGCTGTGTGTTGAGTTATTTTGAGGGGACAGTACCTTTACACTGTTATACAAGCTGCACACTCATTACTTTACATTGTAGCAAAGTGTCATGTCTTCAGTGTTGTCACATGAAAAGATAGAACAAAATATTTACAAAAATGTGAGGGGAGTTCTCACTTCTGTGAGATACTGTATAACTGTAAATTAAACTATCATTTTAACTATTCCTAGTTTTCTGCTTGTCCCTGTTAATTATTCCACACATCTAGATCTCCATTTTTTGCCATTTCCACAACATCTCCAGAAGATGTCCCTGCAAGACTTATTTACACCTACCACCACTGTTTTTCTCGTGGTCCTCTCAATGAGTCTCTTCAGAAGAAACACATTCAGGTTTCCCTGCTTTGGATTCAAAATAGGAAAACAATATCTGTGCCCCTGTTCAATTTAAAGCAGTACTGCAATTTTTCTCCTGAGCAGCCATTGCTCATTGCAATTCATTTATATGTCAAAATGAGACATATAGATAAATAACCCATATAACTAATCAACCTATAAAAGGTTTAAACAGTTCCTAAAAAATCCCACGTTCCCCAATAAACTAACCATCCTTTTCTGTAACCCAATCACTACACACATTGTTCCTCCTCCGCCTTGAATTGTGCATGTTCACTTTGATGGGCCCCATTCTCCTCATGACAGATTGATGCAACTGTTCCCAATTAATACTTCTTTGTATGATGTACAATGTTGTGCTATAATGCCTTGTAATAAAGAACTGTCACTAATGGTCTTACCGGCGTCTTGATGTAAGTGTGGGGATCTGGAAATTCTGGGAGGTGACCTGGAATGTGTGCAGGATGTGGCTTGTTCTGTCCGGCACTTAAAGCTTTTGGGGCAACAGGATGATTTGTCACAGGGGCTGCAAAGAAAAACAATGCATGAGCGACTGATCATACAGAACTTTGTTTAGTTTAGGAAAATGTGGTGAGGGGGTCAGAACTCCTGTCATGTGTTTAACCACTTGCCTACCGGGCATTTATACCCCCTTCCTGCCCAGTCCAATTTTCAGCTTTCAGCGCTGTTGCACTTTGAATGACAATTGCGCGGTCATGCAACACTGTACTCATATGAAATTTTTATACTTTTTTTGAGACAGATAGAGCTTTCTTTTGGTGGTATTTAATCACCACATTTTTTTTTAGTTTTTGCTAAACAAACCAAAAACAACTGAAAATTTTGAAAAAAAAATTTTTTGTCTTAGTTTGTTAAAAAATTTTGTAAACTAGTAATTTTTCTCCTTCACTGATGTGCGCTACTAAGGCTGCAGCGATGGGCACTGATAGGCGGCACTGATGAGGAGGCATTGGTAGGTGGCACTGATGGGTATTGACAGGCATCACTGGTGGGCATTGACAGACATCACTAATGGGCACTGAAAGGCAGTACTCATATATGGCACCGATAGGCGGCACTGACTGGCACCGATAGGCGGCACTGATATGTGGTATTAATGGGCACTGACAGGTGGCACTGATGGGGCTACACTGATCATCAGGGTACTGATCATCAGTGCCCTGATGATCAGTGTAGATGTCCCCTCTGGAAATGGAAATGCCGATTACCAGCTCTCCTTTCCTCATGAGCTGTCAGCGTGACAGCTTGTGAGGAGAGGAATGCCAATAACCGGCATTTCCTTATTTGCATGCGATCAGCTGTGGCTGTGATTGGACACAGCTGATCACATGACGAAGCCATCGGCTCTTTCCGCTTATCGATGACACAGAGCACCGGGGGTGAGCACACGCGGTTAGAGTGGAAGAATGTCATATGAACAAGAGAACCACCGCCCCCTGTCATTTCCTTATATGGCAGACGGGAGGTGGTTAAATTATGTCTGTATCACCTTTAGAGAGATTTGCCCACTCTATTTGTCCTGGTGTCACCAGAAATGAAAGCAAGAAAAAAGAAAACAATTGTCAACAGAACAGCAAAAGAAGGTACTGTACATCTTAAAATGAGGACATCTGTGACAACAGCTGTGACAACTCTCTAAGATGGCATTTCTCTCTCTTTCTGTTGTGTCTCCAGGACAGGGAGTCCAGGTAAGTTTCTCCAACTGGGCACAAACTGCAAAAAATACACAGCTAGAGGTAGAGACTTTAACCTTTCCCTACTCTATCCAAAACTAAAGAGAAAACTTTGACTATACACACACTTTAATTTTATTTCCAGAACTAACTAATAGATTCGCATGATTCCCCTTGCTTTCGAAATGCTTCAACCACTGGACCATAAGATAACATACCATGTGTATTTAAACCCAAATATGTAAAACCAAAATATGTTGTTGCAGATGTATCTGAATCATCAAAAAGTTTCATTCTTTTTTATGCCCTGCTTTCAGTTAAAGGATATCAAACCCCAGGAACAACAATTGAACATACTGCAGCTTACCAGTCCTTAGATATGGTGGCTTCAACTGTAAAGGCTCATTTACACCATGTGCAGAGACCTGTGTTTTTCTGCTCCTAACCAAACGCAGGTCTCCGCAAGGGCACATAAAAAAAACAAACAATTGTTTTCTATGATTGAAATGTCACTTTTGGGTTTATTAACTAGTTACTGACCGCAGATAGCCAAACGACGGCTGCACTGCGGCCGGCCAGTTCTGAGAGGCCATCATATGACAACCTCCCAGAACGCGCTCTCCTGCACGCCCTACATACACAGCTGATCACGTGATGTGGTAAAAGGCCAATAACAGAGACCTTTTACCATGTGATCAGCCGTGTCCAATGACACGCTGATCACCGGGAAATGCAATTGCCAGTTCTCGGCTGCATTTTCCTTACGCTGTCAGTCGGCAGTTGTCAGAGCAGGGATCGGCACCGATCATCAGGGCAGTGATCATCAGTGCCCTGATCAGCTCCCATTAGTGCCACCCACCAGTTCTGCCCACCTGTGCCACCCACCTGTGCCCAGCAGTGCCCATTAGTGCCGCCCATCAGTGCCCATTAGTGCCACCCACCAGTGCCGCCAGTCACTGCCCAGCAGTGCCAGTCAGTGCCGACTATCAGTGCTACCTATCAGTGCAGCCTCATCAACATACATCAGCGAAGGAGAAAAATTACCTGTTTGCAAAAATTTTATAATAGAAACAAAGAAGCTTTTTTTTGCTCTTTTTTTGTTTATAGCGCAAAAAGTAAAAACACTCAGTGACAAGTAAATACCACCAAAAGAAAGCTCTATTTGTGAGAAAAAAAATGATAAAAATTTCATATGGGTATATTGTTGCATGACCACACAATTGTCATTCAAATTGCGACAGCAATGAAAGCTGAAAATTGGCCTGGTAAGGAAGGGGGTATAAGTGCCCGGTAGGCAAGTGGTTAACTAAAGCTGGAGCGTGCAAAATCAGGTGCATTTCTGCATAGAAACCAATCAGCTTCCAGGTTTTATTGCCAAAGCTTAATTGAACAAGCTGAGGTTAGAGGCTGATTGGCTACTATGCACAAGTGCACCAGACTGAGTGAACCAACTTTAGTAAATCTCCCCCTTTGTGGCATTTCAGTAAAGTTAAAAAAAAATAAGGGATAAACGGTGCCTTGTATTGGAAATAATACTAATAATGATACAGAATCAATAGAGCTTGCACACATAAAGTGGATCGTTTTAACATGTGCACTGATGGGAGCGAGCCCTAAAGTGATGTAAATTTACCAATCAGGGTCCATCAAAAGGACAACCAGTGGTTCTTTGGGAGCTCATTAAAAAACACAAACTCATAAATATTGTAAAAAATTCCAAATATCCTAAAATGTATTATAATGTTAGTGGGATTATAATGATGATCAGTTTAACTGCAACACAAAATGACAATAGCAATACCGACACACATTTCTACAAGCCATCCAACAAAATACTATAATGCTCCAAATATTTATGTTAAACCTGCACCCCAAGAAACATTTATGTTTCAGAATTAAAAATTCCAAGTACATAAATGTTGATATTGTAAGTCTTCTCATTCTGAACGATATAGAAATATAGATGCACTTCATAAAATTTCACAAAAACTTACGTGCGGTTATCACCATCCTCTGGGAACGCTTAGCATATGCAGGCAATGTATCCACATTAAAACCTGAGAATATTCACTTTGTTAGTAGATGAAAAAATTGCAATCTCATACTGACAATTACTCAGCACTACTTACCCATTTCTATAAGGGTGACAACTATATCTGGTAAAGTAGGCTGTGTACGTGCTGTATGCTCACAGAACGCTTTGGCACTGCGCCCAATCTCTGTCAGATCTGTGAAAATGAAATAATTAAATCAGTATGATTATGAATGATGCGTTGGTCCAATAATCTTTTATGCTATAAGATTTTTTTTCTTTTACTTTCATTAGATGTTGCCCTGCATTCTCATTTTTTATACATTTGCTTTTTATCAAGTATAACTGTAAAAAATTCAGCCAAAGGAATAGGACCAGCTCCCAGGTGAAAGGGTCTCTTGGATGTACTCTGCAGGAGGAAGCTGCTCCACCTGCAAACAATCCAGGGAGGCACAGAGCTCATCTGAGGTACACCCAGGAACTTCTCCTCCACTTTGTGTTCACGCTACCAGTAGAGAACCAGTTTTCAAAGGTAATATCATTAGGTAGGACAATTTGAGCAAGGCCATTGATCTCCACATCATCCAGCATAGAGACCAGGCAACGTTCTGTTACAAGGGGGACTTCCGCTTTGCCCCAGGGGTGAAAGCACTGTAAAACCTAAATGGTGCCCAACAAAGTCTGAAGTAGGCCCCTCAACATAGTCCAAGGTGCCAGATGGTAGTCCCTGGGATGGAGGTCCACTGCGTGGAATGCCTCAGGAAAGGTAAAATAATACTACTCCAGTCACCTGAACAGGCTGTAGTGTTACAACAGGGACTACCTGATCTGCAGAGACAAGCTTGTAGGCCCTGTTCAGAACCCAAATTTTTGATATCAAAGAGGAGGGCTGATGGGAACCTACAAATAAAAAGAAAGGGTGGGGTGCCATCCTGTAGGGGAGATCCCCCAAAACACAACATTCCCTCACTGGAGGAGGGATATACCTTCAGTGCTCCGATGCAAGAAACCATGAAGCGCATCCCAACCCCGTCCTGGGGCCCTTTCCATCGGTCTAGGAGGTGGGGCTAGTAACTCCCTCTTGCCTCTACTCTTTAGCTGCTTGTATGCAGTACAGAGGTTGGCTGAAGGGGAGGAATGCCCAGCTCAGGCACACACAGTGATACTGCATACACTGAATCCCTGACAGCTATCATGTATTCTATAAGCCCTGACAGCTGGGTGCTGAAAGGAGTGCTTCAGCGCCCAGCTGAAAGCAGGACACAGCTCGGTTTCGCAAGATTCGGGATTTTCTTAAGAGACTTTTGAGAAGTATGCTAATGTGACAGGGAGACCGCCCGGACCCCATAGAGTATGAGCAGGGTGGCCATTGCGACCCCTGTAGCTATGCCAGAGTGTATGGGTAAATGGCTGCTTGCATGTATGAGTAAATGGCTGTTCTTTTATTGGCAAACTACTGTATATATACCCTTTGCAGATGACTACATGATTGTATATGACTGTGTGAAAGTATGGGTAAATGAATATGCAGGAATGGGTAAATTACTGTATCCAGTTGCAGACTCTGGACGTGTTAGCCACACCCAAAAAAAATGGCATCATTGTACACAGTCCTTCTGCCCTGCTTCCAGTACCTCCCTTGTCCCAGTAACTACTAGCTATTCAGCTCTGATTAAGCATACCGACATTGCCATGTACACAGAGAAAGGTCTGACAGCTCAAGCTGTCAAAGAAAAGCAGTCTGGCAATGTCTATCAACATTGCTCAAAAGAAATAAAGTTTAATTCTGTATCTGTTTATTCATCTACAGATCAAAAGGGATCTGCAGATGAAGTCAGTTAAAGCAACCTGACAAGTAAGGCCAATTCACACTGTGAATGTACATTTCTATCAATTTTAGTTATATTTTAAGTGCGTTGACATACATTTTGAAGTCCATTGACATACATTTTGTAGTTTAGCACACCGCAACGTAATGGTGTGAATAGGACACATGGGAAATTATTGTTTTTCAGATGTCCTTCTGCTGATCTGCGTTTTAGGCCTTTTTCACACCATACATGCAGAAAAACTAATGGAAACTGATGCACAGATTTCACTTGCAGAGACATCAGTTTACATGCACACGTCAAGGGCTCATGTTCACCATAAGTGCATGAAAACTGATGGGAAAACTATGCATATTTCATATTTCACTTGCAGAGACATCAGTTTACCTCAGTTTTCGTGCATATTGACATTTTTTTGCGTGTCTGTTATGAACAGACTAACATCACACCCTGTGTCATCATCCTCTTCTTGTTTGTGGTAAGAGAGGCTAGAGAGATGAGGACATTTTGGAGAGTTTATTGCCATTTTGATTGCAGACTCTATTGTAAGCTTCCTGCTCATTCTGCGATACGATTTTCATCCCATTCATTTGAATAGGCTGAAATCACACTGAAGTGCAGAAAAAAGTACTGTATGCACTAACCCTGCAGCTATAAAAATAATTTTCATTCATGCCTCCTTAGTTTCCACTGGATAGATATAAACAGTAACATACAGACAAAAATAAACTATCATAGTCCTTCTTAACAGTCCCCATCAGAGACAACCTTTACATCATGGTCCCCTTCAGAGATTCCCTTACTTAAAACTTCCTCTCAATCAATCCAAAAACACCACATTATAGTCCCCATCACTGACCTCCTGAAAATCATCATACCCATCGAAGACCACTTTAAATCATAGTCCCCATCAAAACTCTATTTCTATACTAGTCCCCATCAGTGTCACCCTGATCAGAGACCACATCAGCATGTACCACCCTCATCAGATACCCTCTCCTCTGTGTTCTCCTCATCACAGACTCCTATCAGATACCCCCTCATCGTTGATTCCTCATCATAGAAATCTCTATTATAGCCTCCTCATCACAGACCAGCTTATCAGTGCATCCCTTACATCAGTGACCCCTCATTGAAGACAACATAATCCCCCTAATATGTCCCCTGCCATCAGTTTTCTCCTCATTTGTCCTCCGCAATCAGTTCTCTCCTCATCTGTCCCCCACCACCAGTACACTACGTATTTGTCCCCTGCCATCAAAGTCCACTCACCAGTCCCTTGTCATCAGCTTCACCCTCAACTGTGCCCACCATTCTGTCCTCATCAGGATCTGTGTCCCCATCTTTGTCCCCCTCTTCACATACCAACATCTCTGACCATATTTTTCCCCCTCCTTATATACCAGAATCTGTTCCCCATCCTTGCCCCCCTCCTTATATTCCAGAATCTGTGTTCCCATGTTTGTCCCCCTCTTCATATACCAGAATCAGTGTCCTCATCTTTGTCCCCCTCTTCACATACCAGCATCTGTGCCCCCATCTATGTCCCCCTCCTTACATACCAGCATCTGTGCCCCCATCTGTGTCCCCCCCCCTCCTCACATGCCGGCATCTGTGTCCCCCGCCTTATATGCCAGCATTCTTGTCTTTTTCCTTACATGCCGGCATCTATACTTCCCCCCCCCGCCATTCTGTTTCCCGCTGAAAGAGCCCTTTCACAATCAGACGCCTACCCAAATGGCAGCATCCCAGCCAGCATCCAACAGGAGGAGGAAAAGGCGTCTGTAAACTCACAAAGTGCCGCTCTGCATTCCCTCCCACTTCCTGTCACATGAGGGGCTTGAAGAGCGGTGCGGTTCATTCTGCCAGCATTGCAGTGCGGAGCTGTGAGGGAAACTGAAGACATACTGCATAGTCTCGCACAGCTCCGAACCAGACATTACACACTGCATTTCAGTGTGAACATGACACATAGGAAACAATTGTTTCCTGTGTGTCTTGCAGAGCCCTGCGGTTTTCTGCAGCAGAAAAGAACAGGTCTCTGCACATGGTGTGAGCAAGTCGTAAAAAAAAAAAAAAAGTTTTTTTTAATTAAATGTTCATCTGTTTAATTCCTTATTAACCCTTATTTTACTCTAATCACACTAATTAACTCCTTATTCTTTTCCATTAAATTATTTTCCTGCTGATTTTTTTTTTGTTAATATAAGTTAATGAAATAGAAACTATTTAAACTTATTTTTGTTATTGTTTTTTTTCATTCATATTTTTACACTTTTAACATATATTTACATATTTCACACATAAAAAAGCGCACAATTTTAAAAAAACCCACCTTATTTCAATTGTAAGTAACTTTACAATGCTTTGTACCAGAATCAGAATTTTAGTGTGATTTTAAACAGGACTAAATTACTGAATAAAATGTGCACTTCTTATATGCAGTAACACTATTTATTTGGAAACTAACAATGCTCAAAAAAAAAAAAATTAAATTGATTTTTGTTACGTGTAATTATTTAAGGATTGCGAGAAAAAAAAAATCATTGTTCCAAGACAATATTCACAAAATGAAAGCCATGTTTGTACATGAAAAAAGGCAGCACAGTGGCTAAACGGTTAGCACTTCCTCCTGGCAGTACTAGGGTCGTTGGTTCGAATCCCAGCCACGGCACCTCTTGCCTGGAGTTTGCATTTTCTCCCTGTGCCTGCGTGGGTTTCCTCTGGTACTCCGGTTTCCGCCCACACTCAAAAGACATGCTGGTAGGTTAATTGGATCCTGTCTAAATTGGCCCATGTATATGAATGTGAGTTAGGGCCCTTATATTGTACGCCCCTTGAGGGTTAGGGACTGATGTGAATGTACAATATATATGTAAAGTGCTGCATAAAATTGACGGCGCTATAGAAGTACCCAAAATAAATAAAATATGTACTATGCTTTTATCTTACATAATGACAAAGTTATCACCGAATAAACAGGCCCCTAGCAGACATGTAAAAAATGCTTTGGTCCATAGGGAGTGAACAGGTGTGAGAGGCGAAGTGTCCCCTGTTAAACACATGTTTCATCATTGCACCCCTATTGAACACATGTTCCACCACTGCACCCCCTCCTGTTTCACCATGAGGCCCCCTTCAAGTGCAATGCGGGAGCGATTTCCAGTGTGTGTGGTGTGCCATAAGGAATAAAGGTGTGTTTTTCTGTGCGGGTAATTGCAGCTGCGGGAACAGTTGCAGACCCGCAGCAGGAACCACCCGCACAGATGTGAACCTAGCCTTAAGATGGAACTACACAATATCTGAGCACCACAAACTAAATACACCATTTAATTCATTTTTATATTCAAAGCAAACTCACCCATCCATCCATGTCTCCATGCTTTACTATGTTGAGAAATCACTTTGAAAACAATCCCCCTAGTATTTCTAGCTACAGCTATCTTGAGTAATAGATAATGAATGTACCACTTCCTGGAATTCGTCTGCCCTTAGCTCAGGCATGCAGGCAGGATAGTGTACTTAGCTGGGAATGCCCCTCCTCCAGATGAAAGAAAAAAAATGCATATAAACCCACAAGATATATGACAATTTTGGCCAGAAACCAGGAAACCACTGAAGAAATTTTAAAAAAAGTTGACAAAAAAAATTTAGTTCCGCTTTAATGACATTTCCAAACTGCTTTACCTTGTTCACTTTCTTCAAGATGGTCTTAGATATAAACAGTTCCAAAACATTGCAAGAAAGTCACAGAACCACACATATTCATCATTGTATAATTCTGCACAAAGCAAATGAGAATAAAAAACATCCTGCAACATGTTACCAACAGAGCTCTGAATGTATCCATGGAACACGACTTGCCAAAGTATCAGATTTCTCTCATAACAGTTAAAGGAGAGTCCATGATGCTCAATGCATCATTAGAAAATAACCAATATTTACTGTTGATACATTTGTGGGACACTTGAATCATACTCACAACTTTGTAGCATCTCAGTCAGTGTTTCCACAGCTGCTTTTTCTGAACTCTCAAACCCAGCTTCTGTGAGCAAAGAACTCACAACTACCTGAAGGGTTCGCCTACGAGCAAGCAAGTAATTATCAGCAGGAGTGGAGGTACCTCGGCCACAGGATCGCTGAGGAGAAACCAGATATCTTAAAATTAAAACTTACCCAAAATGCTGACAAAAAGTGCAACGCATCTTAAAAAATAATAATCCTGTGATACATTGTGAAATACACATTTTTTAATTTTTTTTTTTGAAAGCAGTCAAAATACGAGGTGGTATCAAAAGGATTTGAGACTAGTTTTGTAACACGCCAACAGATGGCACCACAAGGCTGCACATACAGTCACAGGGAGCACAGATCTTCAGAAGTCAGTGTGCCAAAAGTTATTGTCCTGTGTAAATGGGGAGCTGTGCAACTGGTGCTATTCTGACCACGTGCATTACCACTTCTGCCATTTTTATCATGGACAGCGTGACAGACCCAACCAGGGCAGGGGCTTTTGGAGAGGACTAAGGGCTAGCCTTCTACCCACTGATTATAGCCCATGGAGGAGACCAGGGATATTGTCTGCTTTTCCCAATCAGAGCATGGAAAAGAGCTCAGTTCAGCCTCTGATCCCATGGTCATAGGGAGATCATTCTCTAATGATGGACAATAACACGATGAGCGCTGAGAGCGAGGCTTGGATTCTCTGCATAAAGACAAGCTTTCCTCTGGAGTGGATGGAAAGGTGTAATATAAAATCTTGTACAGCTATATACAGATCCTTGAAAAAGTAATCATACTCCTTGAAAATTTCCACATTTTGTCATGTTACAATCAAAAATGTAAATGTACTTTATTGGGATTTGATTTGATAGACCAACACAAAGTGGCACATAATTGTTAAGTGGAAGGAAAATCATAAATGGTTTTCAACATTTTTTACAAATAAATATCTGAAAAATGTGGCGTGCATTTGTATTCAGCCCCCCGGAGTCAATACTTTGTAGAAAAACCTTTCACTGCAATTAAAGCTGCAAGTCTTTTTGGGGATGTTTCTATCAGATTGGAGACCGTCTGTGAACAGCAATTTTCAGGTCTTGCCACAGATTCTCAATTGGATTTAGGACTGGGTCATTCTAACACATGAATATTCTATAATCTAAACCAGTTATCACTAAATGGTGGACTGGGGTCCAGATGCGGACCAAGCCACTGTTCCATCCAGACCCATACAATCCTGCCATTTAAGAGCCTTTTATTCCCCCAGCTGTCTTATGGTCATCCTCACAGAGTTGGCAGCGGGAGGCAGGACTGTTCTGGATGGAGGGTGGGAGCTGCACGAGGTTAACAAGCAGGTGATTGGTTGCTAGGATGAAGGGCAGTCCTAGCAATCAATCACTGTCTGTGTAAGGTAGGACAGTGGGGGGGGGGGGGGAATGGTGAAGTTAAAGGGGCTAAGAATATTACTGTAAAGGGGGTCCAAGTACTGAATGTGGGGGGACTGAAGACAGTAATGTGTGGGGCTAAGGACTGTGGTGTGTGGGGGCTGAGGACATTAAAGTGGGAGAGGCTGAGGACAGTAATATGGGAGGGGGTCTTGGGACAGTAATGTGGAATGATGATTTAAAAAGGGGCAGAGTAGTCTTCAGTGAAGGGGGCAGAGGAAAGTACTGTTGGGGGGAGGGGGGGGTGATGTCAAGGAAGTGTGAGAACACTACTGTGAAAGGGGGGTGGAGGGGGGTGATGTAAAGGGAGAGCTGAGGACACTCATCAAGAGGGATCTTTCTGTAAATGAGGAAAGGACTGTGATGTGCAGTGGGGATTGAGGACACTGATGTGAGAACAGGTTCAGATCTGTACATATTCATATGGTGCACACATTGTGGTTAGGTCAGAACTACCTGCTAGACACCTGAATAAGTCTCCGACCTTTTTTTTTTTAAAAAAATTGCACAGCAGCAACATGTGGTTTGGCTCACACAAAAATGCACCACAGGGGCCTACTTGGCCTACTTGAGATTTGGGCCTCTGATGCATGCAAATTTTACTGCCTGGACCTTGGTGAATTTTAATTCAATACCCCTGATCTAAACCATTCCATTGTAGCTCTGGCAGTATGCTTAGGGTCGTTGTCCTGCTGGAAGGTGAACCTTCGCCCCGCTCTCAAGTCTTTTGCAGACTCTAACAGGTTTTACTCCAGGATTGCCCTGTATTTGGCTCCATCCATCTTCCCATCAACTCTGACCAGCTTTCCTGTCCCTGCTGAAGAAAAGCATCCCCACAACAAGATGCTGCCACCACCATGTTTCATAGTGGAGATGGTGTGTTCAGAGTGATGTGCAGTGTTAGTTTTCCGCCACACATAGCGTTTTGCTTTTAGGCCAAAAAGTTCATTTTTGGTCTCATCTGACCAGAGCACCTTCTTCCACATGTTTGTTGTGTCCCCCACATGGCTTCTCGCAAACGGGACTTCCTATGGCTCTTTTTAAATAATGTCTTTCTTCTTGCCACTCTTCCATAAAAAGGCCAGATTTGTGGAGTGCACAACTTATAGTTGTCCTGTGGAAAGATTATCCCACCTGAGCTAAGGATCTCTGCAGCTCTTCTAGAGTTACCATGGGCCTCTTGGCAGCTTCTCCGATTAATAATCTCCTTGCCTGGCCTGTCAGTATAGGTGGACGGCCATGTCCCGGTAGGTTTGCAGTTGTGCCATACTCTTTCCATTTTCGGATGGTGGATTGAACAGTGCTCCGTAAATTGTTCAAAGCTTAGGATATATTTTTTTTTATAACTGCTTTAAAATTATCCACAACTTTATCCCTGACTTCTCTGGTGTGTTTCACCCCCAAAGGAAAAAAATTCTCCATTTTGCCCAAAAGTCCTCTATAACCACACGGGTCCAAGAGTCTAGTTACAAGATCCACACCAGGTGGTACAGGGTTCCCACTTTACTCCGCTGTATCAACCCCTCAGGTGTCATGCTGGCGTTGCGGTGCTGAAGATGGGACCATGCTTCATATTTTCTGGTCGTTCTCAGGAATTTGGCCGTTCTGGCGCGATGTGACCTGTTATCAAACAGCTTTCTGTGGTGGATTTGCACGATAACTCCGCGGCTTGCCCGTTACACTTGATGGAGAGACCTATTAAAAAGTACCAATCCTTCCTGACAATCCAGCTCCTTAACTCAGCTAAGCCGTGTATCCCGCTCTGTTGGAGCACTGATCCTCAATTGAAGGCTCTTTAGTTCGCTAGAGTTAATGTTCTCTGGGATATGGAGGAACTTTATGCAAAACATATCTGTATCTTTTATTGTGTGAAGAGGAGTTAAAAGGTAAAAAAAAAAAAAGTACAATAGAAATGGATTGGATGAAGCTTATGACCTATAATATGAAAGGGTTAAATTCCCCCAAAAAAGGGCATAAGATACTCAGGGAAATCCAGCAATATGAAATAGATGTAATATTCCTCCAAGAGACACACCTGACCCATAACACAAATGTGAAATTATATGCGAAGTACCACCAAACATGGTACTACGCTGATTCATCATTCAAAGGGGCAAAAGGAGTGTCAATTGGAATCTCAAAAAATGTTGCCTTTTCCCTGGAAGACAAAATGGAAGACCCTGAAGGTCAGTTTCTGTTTATCAGGGGAATGTTACAGGGAATGGAATATACATTGGCCAATATTTATTGTCCAAATAAAAAGCCAGCTAAATTCTTAAAGAATTAAAGAAACTCGCGGAATTTAAAAAAGGGATCTCTGGTCGTCGCAAGGGATTTTAATTTGTGTCTGGACCCCCAATGGGATGCAATATCATGTTCAGGGAGAGAAGAGGATAGGGACTTGAAATCATTGAAGAAGTTATTATATAAATATCAACTAGTGGATGTGTGGAGAGTAAACCACCCAAGAGAAAGAGACTTTACCTTCTTCTCCCATGTACATGGTTCGTATTCAAGGCTGGATTATATAATGATAGAGCATAGACAATTGGAGAAACTAATAGGCTGCAATATAGAGGTTATGTCTATCTCGGATCATTCTCCCGTCACAATGAAGTTACAAGTAGGGGACGGTAAAGATAAAAAAAAACTCTCTTGGAGGTTAAATGAAATGCTTTTACAGGACCCCAAAGTAGAGAAAAGGTTAAAACTGGAAACTGAACAATTTTTTTAACTTAATGAGACCAATGAAATATCAGCGGCAACAGTTTGGGAGACACAAAAAGCTTATATTAGGGGAATATTGATTTCAAGGAGGATATTTAATAAGGTTTCAAAAGATAGATATCAATGGGGGAATAGGCCTGGAAAATATTTAATGAGCAGACTTAAGAACAAGAAAACTAGAAACTTCCTAGAAAAAATTAGAGATGGGAAGAGAGAAATAGTGTTTAATACTCCTGATATCGCAAAGAGGTTCTATAAATATTATAATGAACTTTATGACGTGAGGGGTGGCAATCAAGGGGAAAGTGAAGAAGAGAAGAAAAAATTAGACAGAAATATCTAAGGGAGGTGGGTTTGCCACAATTAACTCAAGAAAAATTAGAAGCCCTTTAAAGCCCCATTACCACGGAAGAAATTGAATCAGTGTTAAAGAATACATCTGTAGGCAAAAGTCCAGAGCCAGATGGATACACGGTGGGGTATCTTAAAAAGTTCAAGGATCTATTAATCCCTAAAATCTGTAGATATATTAACACAATAGGTGGGGGGTGGAAATGAGTAAGGAGTCGCTGCAAGCCCACATTACGCTCATTTTAAAGGAAGGAAAGGATAGTTTACAATGTGCCAGGCATAGGCCTATATCATTATTAAACACCGATACTAAATTATATGCAAAGGTACTAGCAATAAGACTGAAAGACCTGATCCATGAATGGGTACATGTAGATCAGGTGGGCTTTGTACCGGGAAGAGAAGGAAGGGACAATGGCCTGAGATCCTTGATCCTTATACAAAGAGCTAAAAAAAGAGAAAAGATACCTACAATACTTTTGTCAATAGACGCCGAAAAGGCATTTGATAGGGTCAATTGGGGATTCATGTTTGATACATTAGAAATACTAGGAATAGGTGCCTAGGATGATGAATTGGATAAAAGTATTGTATAATGACCCATCAGCGGCGGTTAAGGTTAATGAATCTCTCTCTCAGTTCTTTATGATGCATAATGGCACAGGGATGACAGGGATGTCCTCTTTCTCCTTTATTATTTGCTTTGTCTTTGGAACCACTCTTGGAGAGGGTAAGGAAATGTATAGATATAAGGGGGATAAAAGTAGGAAAAATAGAGCATAAAGTCGCCGCCTTTGCAGATGATATGTTGTTTTACATAGTTAACCCTAGAATAACTTTGCCTAATTTAATGAAAGTATTAAAACAGTATGGGGAGATGTCAAACTTAAAAATAAACCCGTTAAACCTGAGGTCTTAAACCGGAGGTACGTTTTTGGTTGTAACAAAATGTGGAGAATTTCAAGGGGTATGAATACTTTTCAAGGGTGTGTGTGTGTGTGTGTGTGTGTGTGTGTGTGTGTGTGTGTGTGTGTATATTGGGACAGAAATATTTATCAACAATCTCCCTCAAGAAATCACTGAAGATAAATTAATTCTACTTTTTCAGACTGTTGGAGTATTGTATGAGTTTTGTTTCATGATGGAAAGATTGCACAGGTGAGGGCCAGTCACCTGAAGGACAGCATTTGTAATGTGTATTCAGGGAGGTGTCAGGCTGTCTGGGGTTAGGCTCCTGGCTGGCCTGGGTGCTTGACTGTTGATTAGCTTACTGTTAATTAGATCACTGTTAGTTGTTGGCTATACTGTCTACAGTTTGCACTGTTTAGGATAATGTGATCAAGCTCTTACCTAATTAGTGTAGGATGTTTATCCTGATGTGCAAGATTTGTTTTTATTGTTCATATGGGGGCTGCCTCTATTTCTGAAGTGTATATATATATAAAAAAAAAAAAAAAAGTATTTCTGTTAAATAAAGAGTTCCAGATTGCACCCAAGCTAGTATCATCTATTACTTGGGTGTAATGCACACCTATAATACCGTGGCCCTGTGTCCCAGCGGCGAGGAAGCAGTTATCTGATGGAATCACCAGGTGGGGTGCAAGGTGGTCCGTCACAAACAGCTAGTTAGAACAAAGAGTGAAACGTAAAACCTGTACACTGGTAATGATCCTTGACATGAAGAACAGGTCATCCACAGCACTCTGATGGGAGTTCTTGGCAGGCTTCAACGCAGTGTTCCTTCTGCTCCTGGGTCAGCAGCCTGTAGACGAACTTGGAAACAAGGCGCATGTTCAAATCACACATGAGGATGGCCTGGATTGTTCCATATGACACACAGACAATGGCAGCAATGTTGTGGATTATTCTTCGACAATCATCATGCACAAGTTGCTGAATGGTTTCAACATTTTTGGGGGTTAAGCTCGCTGAAGGTCTTCCTGATCTCTCGTTGTCTTCCAGTGATGTTCTTCTACTCTTAAAGTGCGCGTGCCACTCAATACACCTCCCAATGTGCATAAAACAATGTCTTTTGGCACACTGACTTATGAAGGTTGGTGCTCCCTGCAATGGTGCGTGCAGCCTTGTACTGCCATCTGTTGGCGAGTCTTGAAACCTTTTGATACCACCTCGTAAATTGTTGTTACAACTAAATATTTAATGTAAAGTATCTGTGACATTTTACCCAATGTACATTCTGCAATATTAATGGAGAGCTGTTACAGCTTACATTTCGTATGTATAACACTGTGTATAAAAAATGGAAGTTCTTTAACATCCTGGCCCTTTCCTCCTGCCAAGTGTCCTCAAAGCAAACAGCTTGCTATGGGGGCACCTGAGCAGGCTTGCCCGGAACCATTGCCCTGTGTGTCTATTCACACACAAAGCCATGGATTGGCCCTGTCCCCATCTTTCCTCATTGGCTCACTGACTGTGACTGACAGGAGCAGGAGCCAATGAGGAGGGAGAGTCCCCGAAGAGCCGAGTCACTTGTGCACATTGCTGCATTGCAGTGGGGCTCAGATAAGTATTGGGATGCTGCTACACAGAATGCATTAAGTTAAAATACCTTGAGCCTTTACAACCACTTTAAAGTGTCCTGTCAATAAGGTCTCCAAAATAAAGTGGTTCTAAAGCCAGAAGGTTTTTTTTACCTTAACCAGTTCAGCTCCACAGCAAATATTTTACATTTTTGCACACGTGTAAAAATCTTCATTTTTGGTAACAAAGCTACTTAAACCCCCAAAACATTATATATTTTCTGAAAGCTGAGGCCCTGTACGATACTGCAAATTTTTATGCCTCATGATATTTTTGTAACTGTTCATTAATTTCAGAAAAAAATTAAATAAATTGTAATCCAAACACGCACAATATAATACCAATTATGGTGAAATATAAAAGATAAGGTTTGTGTCGAGATAATAGATACCAAACATCTATTTGCGACACTTTTGGTTCAGAATGCATAGACTGTATGAAAGTAAAAAACCCTGAGCCTTTATAACCGCTTTAATATCATGAATTTAAATAAATATGAATTTATTTTCAGCACCTTTTTGGTCAATAGGCTGCTTTCACACTGAGCAGTTGTTGAAGTGCTTTGCGTTTAAAAAAAAAGCGCAAGAAAAGCTAAAAAAAATTAGATTCAATGTATGTCTTTGTCACTGGTCTATTGTACTAAAATCCTCGTTGCCACAATTTTTATGCATATTTGGACAGTTAAAAAAAAAAAAAAAAAAAAAAGGCGCACCAAAAATGTACCTCCCCATTATAGCCTGGTTCACCCCTATGTGGTTTATAGTGCTTTTTGCAGAAACGCGCTACAGTCCATTTAACACGGTTTTCTATGGGACACATTTATGCTTTTTTGCTGTGTTTTTGGAAAGGGTCAGGACGCTTTTTAAATGCAAAACGTTGCGTATTTGGTTCAACAGACTTCAATAGAGATGCAGCAGAAAACGCACATTTTGATACAGTTTTGATGCATTTTGCATTTTTAATCTGCCCAGCAACAAGTTAACCAAACAAAAGAAAAAAAAATTTAGAAACACACAAAAAAGCATCAAAAATGCACATGCAAAAACACAAAATGCACTGCAAAAGAAACAGCAAAACAGACAAAATGCAATATGCATTGGTGTGAACCAGGCCTGAAATGCATTGAAAAATGCATAAAAAAAAACACGTGTTACGTTTTTGATGCATTTTTTTTGAGCCATATGACCTATGAAAACCGCACCCTAAACATGGTAAAAATCGCTGCAAAAGTGCACACTTATCGACACCTTTTTTTCCTATTAGCAAAATGCAGATAACACTATCTTCAGCCAATACATTCTGGTCGCTGATATCGGTGCATCCGTAGTGAAGACCAATTCTCTTTTGGTGTACAGAGAGAAAACCCAGTCTCAGTTAAATTTTGCAAAAGTGTCTCATTTTAAAAGTGGCACAGCATGCGCTAAATTCAAGTACAAGTTCTAGACAGGTACATGAATTTGGCACATTCTTCACCACTTTTAGAAAACATGCGACACACTTTTGTAAAATCTGCATGCGCCAGTCTTCATGAACTCTAGGGTAGGTGTGCATAGACTATATTGCCAAAAGTATTGGGACACCCCTCCAAATCATTGGATTCAGGTGTTCCAATCACCTCCATGGCCACAGGTGCATATAATCAAGCACCTAGGCATGCAGACTGCTTCTACAAACATTTGTGAAAGAATGGGTCGCTCTCAGGAGCTCAGTGAATTCAAGCGTGATACCTTGATAGGTTGCCACCTGTGCAATAAGTCCATCCGTGAAATTTCCTTGCTACTAAATATTCCAGGGTCAAATGTTAGTATTATTATAACAAAGTGGAAGCAACTGGGAACAACAGCAACTCAGTCACGTTAAATGACAGAGCAGAGTCAGAACATGCTGAAGCGCACAGTGTGCAGAAGTCACCAACTGTCTGCAGAGTCAATAGCTAAAGACCTCCAAACTTTGTGTGGCCTTCAGATTAGCACAACGGTGCATAGAGAGCTTCATTGAATGGGTTTTCATGGCTGAGCAGCTGCATCCGAGCCTTACATCACCAAGTGCAATGCAAAGCGTCGGATGCAGTGGTGTAAAGCACACTGCCACTGGACTCTAGAGCAGTAGACATGTGTCCCCTGGAGTGACAAATCACACTTCCGTCCAGAAGGACGTGTCTGAGTTTGCCGGTTAACAGGAGAACGGTACTTGCCTGACTGCATTGTGCCAAGTGTAAAGTGTGGTGGAGGGGAGATTATGGTGTGGAGTTGTTTTCAGGGGTTGGGCTTGGTCCTTTAGTTCCAGTGAAGGGAACTCTTAAGGCATCAGCACACCAAGACATTTTGGACAATTTCATGCTCCCAACTTTGTGGGAACAGTTTGGGGATGGCCCTTTCCTGTTCCAACATGACTGCGCACCAGTGCACAAAGCAAGGTTCATAAAGACATGGATGAGCACGTTTGGGGTGGAAAAACATGACTGGCCTGTACAGAGTCCTGACCTCAACCCGATAGAACACCTTTGGGATGAATTACAGCAGAGACTGCGAGCCAGGCCTTCTCATCCGACATCACTGCCTGACCTCACAAATGTGCTTCTGGAAGAATGGTCAAACATTCCATAGACACACTCCTAAACCTTGTGGACAGCCTTCCCAGAAGAGTTGAAGCTGTTATAGCTGCAAAGGGTGGGCCAACTCAATATTGAACCCTACAGACTAAGACTGGGATGCCATTAAGCTCTTCCCAACTTCGCTATAGCCAAAATATGGCTACAGTGCGTTCATCCAGTTCTGGGAGGGCATCTATAGATGTCCTCCCAGAACCACGCCCCCCACTTGCTCCCTGGGGTACACATCTGACGTGTTCTGTGATCGCTGTGTTATTTGGACACAGCTGATCACAGATAGCAGTAAAGGGACAATCACAGCAGCCCTTTACCATGTGATCAGCTGTGTCCAATCACAGTTGTTCACATTGTAAACAGACTTTTCGGTTATGGACAGTCCTTTCCTCATACGCTGTCACAGCGAGAAAAGAGCCAGTAACTGGCAATTCTGACAGGGGACTTTTGCACTGATAATCAGTGGAGCTTCAGCAGAGCACATCAGTGAAGGAGAAAAATGACTTATTTGCAACATTTTAGAAAAAAGAAACTAAGAATTTTTTTTTTTTAATTTTCGTTTGTTTTATTTGGTTAGGAAAATATTAAAAACCCAGTGGTGATTATTCACTTCCCGTCCAGCCCATGAACATAAATGGCCAGATGAATGCAGTGCAGGAGCGGGTTGCCATTTATAAACGTCCTCCCACTTCCCTGCCTGTGCCCGCTCCCTGGGAGCGCACAGCACCGCGATCTGGTGCCCACTGTGTCTTCCCGGACACAGCAGAACACCGATCGTTGTACGGGACCTCTATGTGAGGTCCAGATCATGTGATCACTGATTGGCCAATCAGTGATCACATGAATAGTAGTAAGCAAGATGTCACTTCTGACATCATTGCTTACTACGTGTGAAACCTGTGAATGATCACAGAGGTCACATGGTACAAGGCTATTCACAACAGCCTTATACCATGTGACAAGCTGTGACCAATCACAGATCTCACAGTATTTCTCAATGGCTGCAAGAATGCAGCCAGAGAGAAGGAGAAATGATTGCTTTTACAGCCTTTATGGGTGTAAAAGCAATCAGTGTAAACAAAAAATCATCACCCCCCACTGCTAGGGTGACAGTATGTAAAAATAATAATATAAAAAAATAAAATGTAAAAAAGATTTCTGAAAAATTATATCTTTTGGTTCTAAACTAATTTGGGTTTTTTTTTTTTACTAAAAAAATAGCTGAATACATTTTGAAGAAAGATTTGCTACATTTTTTTTCAAATGTTTGGACTTTTTCATTTATATTGCAAAAAAATAAAAATCCCAGAGGTGAATAAATACCACCAAAATAAAGTTTTCCGTCTCAAAAAAATACTAACAAATACATATGGGTGCAGTGTTGCATGACGACGCAATTGTCATTCAAAGTGTGATAGCGCTGAAAATTGGCCTGGACAGGAAGGGGGTAAAAGTGTCCGGACTTGAAGTGGTTAAATAACACAAAAAAAAAAACCTGTCTAAAAAAAAATGATACAAATGTCATACGGATGCAGTGTTGCATGACTGCGCAATTGTAATTCAAAGTATGTCAAAAAGGGGGAAAGTGCACAGAAAGTGGTTACAGTTCATGTGCGTGTAAAGGCAGGGTCCCAACACTTCTGGCAATATAGTGTAGGTTAACATAGGGCAGCTTTTAGAAGCAAAAAGTCCCCCCCCCCCCCCTTTAAATGTGTTGTTGTTGACGCCCACTCCCTCATGTAGCTTAGTGGGCTCTGCCTCGCATTGTCCTGCACGGCTTTTCTAGGCATTCGGTTTGTTTGGAGAGATCCCCCATGTGTTAACCTGGTGTATGGAGCGTGGCCTAGCGGTGCACACAGCAATGACTGATGTCTGCTCTTGAAATGAGACCCCTGGCTCGTTGCTAGGGACAACGCCATTACTGCTTTGTTTTCCTGCAAAAGGCTGGAAGCTGCGTAAACCCCTATCATGACCTCGGGCCACGCCTCCGTTCACGTGACTGGTTTCCGCCTATCGCTCCCGCACGCCATGAGCTTGTGAAACAGTTCGGAACCTTCTCAAACACAAATCTATCATTACATAAAACGTAAAGCTTGCTGAACTCTCGCCCCCGATTTGATTCGTTCATCACCCGGGTGAATATTACCGTTCCGGAGCTGCCCGAACCACTCACAGCCGTAGCAGTCTCCGCCATCTTGATTAGCACGTCCTGGCGCAAAGGCTGCCGGGAGATGTAGTCCTTTGACTGGTCCTGCAGGTGCTACTTAGCTAGGCGTAACCTTGTGAAGAGGGGAACCTTCTGGAGAAAAATACTTCTCGAAATAGATTTTTGTTTCTGTATTGTTGGTTGGTTCCTTTGCTATTCCTTTGCTATAAGAATGCCTACCATATTTATTGAAACTCAATAAACTTGTGTGACCTGGCTTTATGGAGCTGAACTCAAGGGAAGAAACAGACAAACCTACAGTACAACTTCAATGTTTACTTTATTGAGTGAGGGAAGAAAAGGACCTTTAGGGCTACGTTCACACTTGGCTTCATTTCTAACTCCTGCCAAATGCCCCTATAGCATTTGACAGGTGTTTGGGAAGCGTTTTTAACGCCCTGCTCCTTGGAGCTTACAATGTAGGAGATATGACCACTCTAATAGTGGACAATAGGGTGCGTCTTGGCAAATCACATGCCAAGTCACACCCCATGTGACCGGGGGCTTAATATTGCTCTATAGAGATGGTTCACATGTCCACTCCTGCAGTCACCCGAAACAGAACGTCTGGAGCTCAAAAACATTTTGTAGCTATTTTTGTAGCTCCATGGAGGCACATTGGCATGTTTTTATTTCCTATTGAAATACATAGAAATCCACACATCATGCGGTTTCAAGCGCTTTTTAGCTCATTCTGTCGTGCGACAGAATGCATTTTTCCAATTTCCAAAATGGAAAATGGTCCATTTTGGAAATTGGAAAAACATGATTCTGAGATAAGGAAGCTGCTGTGGCTGGTTCATGGGAAATAATGCTGAATTTTATAAGTCCCCAATGTAAGATGCTGCATTAAATGTCTTTATGCTCTTTACCATATGCTGCATGGTTTTTTTTCTATTTTTATGAGGATTATGGAGATTTGAAAGTGAACCCTATACACAGTGATGAGAGCTTGGAAAGTGACTGCTATAAACTTCAGAACATCCCTTTAACCCCTTCACGCCTAAGGGTAAAACAAATCTAAATGCCTAAGTACAATTCTGCAACTTTGACATGTGTTAGTAAAACCGTACATATCATCACAACTACTTTGTACATCCAGGTGGATTATACTTTGTTTTTTTTCAGGACAAATTGGGCTTTCATTTGGTGGGTAAATGGTAATGGATAGCTCCTAATTTTTTTTTCATTATCAAAGGGAAAACTGGCCCAAATTGTTTTTTTTAAATTTAGCTATGTGTTTCTTGTTATGACCACAACCTACCTCCATAGAACAACCCAAAATAAATTCTCCAGTTCTTGACGATTGCAACGATACTTTATATGTGCATGTTATTTGTTGTTTGTACCCGTAGTACAGCCCAGAAACAATAGTGCGCATTTTGTTTTTGTCTTCTTTTTTTTACCTAAAACACACTGACACTGACACTGACATTAACACTAACTGACACTGATACCAATTTTTTTTTACCTTGCCCTTTGACCCTGGCCTTGACCCAAACCCAACCCTGGTACTGAACTAGATCAAACCTTGATCTAGGTATTTTTCTTTATTTTTTCTTTTATTTTTTAATATTTATTTATTTATCTTTTTTTTTCTTTTTTTTTTTACAAACATTTTTTTTATCTCTCTGTGTCAGGAGTTAGAGATACAATGTATCTCTCTTCTCCATTCATAGAGAGAGAAAAAACAAGGGGGCCAGGCTGCACAGTGACTGATGCCAAAGCAGTGCAAATGCAGAAGCCCTACATAGCAAGACCTACCTCTACCAGATGACTCCCCTTGGATAGGCGGCGGTGGCCCGCAGGAGGAGTGACCCGAGCGACAGAGATCAGCTGTGTGGAGCCCAGCGGTGACAGCGTGCCTGGTTGCCAGGAGACGAGGAGGTGCGGCGTGACCACGTGGTCGGCCGCTGAGCATCGCTGGGAGGTGAGGAAGCCGGCTGGCGTCCTGCGGTGAGAGAGAGGTGCTGGCCTGCTTGCTGGTCTACTCCCCGGAGCCCTGCCTGATTACAGCAGAGAGAAGGGAAACGCCTTGGTCTGGAGAGAGGAGAGCAGAGGATACCCTGGGGAGTCCCCCTGATAAGAGACGAACAGCCGCCCTACTAGAAGGATTGACGGAGGGAGCCTCTAGCCGTGTCACAAGAAGAAAAGTGTGAGGAGGGTGAGTGACTCTGGCTGAGGCTTGATGTATATTATATTTGTTAAAGATAGTTATTAAGAGGTCGTACAATAAATTACCGTATCACCCAGTAAATGGTCTCCATTCAGTAGCCAAAAAAGGCATACAAAAAAAGAGGGGTTGTGAAAAGAAATTCACAAAGAAAGCGGCTACATTATGAACAGAATGTGATACTCAGAAAAATTTCCAAAAATTATGCTTTATTACACATACAAATTTGACATATGGGCAATCGCCCTGGTTTACCATCACCTCAGTATGAGACAATACACACAGACCTAAAACCATATAAAATGACACCAGTACCGGTCTAAATACCTGTGCAACAAGGACAATGACTACAAAGTCTAAAGTCCCTGTGGCACTGGCGCATAGGTGAACACTTCCCAAAGGAGGTGTATACAAAAAATTATACCATAGGTATACCATAACACGTGTTATAATATGTAGACTATGCTACTACCAGAGTGGTTATATCCCAAACAGGGAGTTTCAAAAAATTATACCATAGATCTAAATATCACATGTATGCAGTACAGCAAGCACAGTATGCGTCAAAAAGAAGGCATGCCTCTAGGCCTATATGAAACAAAACATAAATGTCATGTAAATGATGCAGTACATTCCTATGCCGGCACAAGTGGTTGGGGCCCATTCATCTGTGATTATTACCAGCTGTTTCCTAGGGCTCTTGAATAAAAATATGCCCCATTTTTAACAGGATGGAAGGATAGATGCATAAAGCAGCGCACTGCTTGAAATGGTTTCTTCACCACTACATGTGGACTACATACCACTTTCTGTGAGAAAAACAAGACACATCCCAATAGATCTTCTGCCTGTTGAAATACATGTGGTATATCTTGTTTCCTATACAAAGCACCATGATGTCCCCATCCTGTAGTGAAACAGACAATATGTGGAAAGTCACTGAAAGAGCTTACACTCTATATAGGATATATAGGTCATATATGTCACATAGGACCATATATCTAGTGTCCTGCAACAGTCCACTCACCACCTGTGCAATGGATAATAGGAGAGGAAAGAATATCCTTCATAGGTACTGCCATACAAGGCCGAAGAGGCCAGGGAGCCACCGCTGACATCCGCCGATATACCGCGGGCTCCAGCCTCTTCTCGGCGCCTGTGGTGCCTAGGCTTGCCTCATGGCATGTGAAAATGGCTTCCTCCTTGTAGGTCAGCGTGCGTTCCACCTAATGCGCATGACCAGAAGTGACGTATCTGACGTATGACGTCATACGTCAGATACGTCACTTCCGGTCATGCGCATTAGGTGGAACGCACGCTGACCTACAAGGAGGAAGCCATTTTCACATGCCATGAGGCAAGCCTAGGCAGCACAGGCCCGAGAAGAGGCTGGAGCCCGCGGTATATCGGCGGATGTCAGCGGTGGCTCCCTGGCCTCTTCGGCCTTGTATGGCAGTACCTATGAAGGATATTCTTTCCTCTCCTATTATCCATTGCACAGGTGGTGAGTGGACTGTTGCAGGACACTAGATATATGGTCCTATGTGACATATATGACCTATATATCCTATATAGAGTGTAAGCTCTTTCAGTGACTTTCCACATATTGTCTGTTTCACTACAGGATGGGGACATCATGGTGCTTTGTATAGGAAACAAGATATACCACATGTATTTCAACAGGCAGAAGATCTATTGGGATGTGTCTTGTTTTTCTCACAGAAAGTGGTATGTAGTCCACATGTAGTGGTGAAGAAACCATTTCAAGCAGTGCGCTGCTTTATGCATCTATCCTTCCATCCTGTTAAAAATGGGGCATATTTTTATTCAAGAGCCCTAGGAAACAGCTGGTAATAATCACAGATGAATGGGCCCCAACCACTTGTGCCGGCATAGGAATGTACTGCATCATTTACATGACATTTATGTTTTGTTTCATATAGGCCTAGAGGCATGCCTTCTTTTTGACGCATACTGTGCTTGCTGTACTGCATACATGTGATATTTAGATCTATGGTATAATTTTTTGAAACTCCCTGTTTGGGATATAACCACTCTGGTAGTAGCATAGTCTACACATTTATAACACGTGTTATGGTATACCTATGGCATAATTTTTTGTATACACCTCCTTTGGGAAGTGTTCACCTATGCGCCAGTGCCACAGGGACTTTAGACTCTTGTAGTCATTGTCCTTGTTGCACAGGTATTTAGACCGGTACTGGTGTCATTTTATATGGTTTTAGGTCTGTGTGTATTGTCTCATACTGAGGTGATGGTAAACCAGGGCGATTGCCCATATGTCAAATTTGTATGTGTAATAAAGCATAATTTTTGGAAATTTTTCTGAGTATCACATTCTGTTCATAATGTAGCCGCTTTCTTTGTGATTTCTTTTCACAACCCCTCTTTTTTTGATGTATATTATACCCTGTACTGAGCTGTTGGGAGAAGCAGGGTGTGAGAGAAAGGGGGGACCCCCGGGGAATGTAAAGAGGTGGAAGGGTGAAGAAGATTGGTGAAAGAAAAGTGTAAAAGACAAGCAAGTGGACAGGGTTGGGACTTGTATATTAATAGCTGTCTCTTCCTAGCCCCGAGTCTATAAAGGAGAATAAGAGCCACAGAAGAAATGAAAAATAAAAATGCTAAAGGAAGTGGGCTTAAAGGGACCCAGACTGGCAAAATTAAAAAAATATACCTCCCAGGGAAACGTGACCCCAGAAAGGCCCCAGGGTATGAATGAAAAAGGAGAAGTAGACCTTAGTCTGGAAAGTAGCCCTAGACTATCACTAGGCCTGGATATTAGTAGTCAAAA